CAAGTTCCTAGAATCAACCCACCCGCGCCTGCAACATGGCTTCATCCCAGAGGTCGCAATTGGGTACCAGATACCCGTACCCTACCCGATACCCGGCCGGGTACGGGTAGCCAGGTACCCGTTTGTGACCCTGGTGCGGCCGGGTACGGGTACGGGTAAGGAATCAAAACCCGTTTGCGACCTCTGCGTCACGTGCTTTCAGATGCGCTTACGCGGCCGTCTGGAATGCTTTTCCGTTATTCGGAGGCCACTGAGAGCTATGCACTTTTGAATCGTCTAGATTAGCAAAGTAATTTCTTTCGGACTGCTTTTTGTGTTTAGTGCTCTTGTCCCTTCCACGCCCAACTCCAATTAGCACGGTTGGCTACGTACGGTGTGAAAGAAGTTCAACATGCATACATATACAATTAAGTAGTAAGGAGTCAAGCCCTTTAAGGCCTTGAAAGTAAAGAGCAACATTAAATTGTTATTTATCAAGATGAGCATCAAGGATATGGACTTTGAGGGACATCCTACAGCCCATTGTGCCGTAGTTCTTCACCAGAGTCTCAACCAGCTCCACATAGGTAAAGTCACGTAGAATGGAAATAATAAAATAATTAAAATAAAACATAATAAAATACAATTCTCACGACGTTTCGGCCACAACGCAAGCAGCCGTCCTCAGGTGAAGAACAGGTCTGTCGGAAAGACAGCGTCTCATTCAGAAGAACAGGTCTGTCGGAAAGACAGCGTCTGAATGAGACGCTGTCTTTCCGACAGACCTGTTCTTCACCTGAGGACGGCTGCTTGCGTTGTGGCCGAAACGTCGTGAGAATTGTATTTTATTATGTTTTATTTTTATTATTTTATTATTTCCCTTCTACGTGACTTTACCAAAAGAACCAAGAAGATGAATCCCTGCAGTCACGAAAGCTTTAAATCGAAATTCAGCTCCACATAGTTTTTGACCTTGTGATTGCCCAGGAAGCCACGAACCACTGCGACAAAGCTGTTCCAAGCCGATTTCTCCTTACTAGTGAGCTTCTTGGGGAATTCATTGCACTCCAGGATCTTCTTTATCTGTGGTCCGACGAAGACACCGGCTTTTACCCTTGCCTCAGACAGCTTAGGGAAGAAGTCTTGAAGCTACTTGAAGGCTGCCGACTCCTTATCTACAGCTCTGACAAATTGTTTCCTAAGGCCCAATTTGATGTGCAGTGGTGGCATCAGCACCTTCCGGGGGTCCACCAGTGGCTCCCACTTGACGTGGTTCCTCCCCACAGAGACCTCGGTCTGCTGTGGCCAGTCCCGCCTGTGGTAGTGCGCCTTGGTGTCTAAATCTTTTGTAGTCATTTTTGTATTACTTTAGCAGAAATACATGTACATTTTTATTCATATGTTGTATTTTTCTGACTTTATGTGAACGAAAAGACACAAATTCGCCCGTTTTCTCATTTAAAATAGGTACATTTCTAAATATCACTGTCCTGGTCACAAAAGCAAAGTTTGTGGGGAATAATAGCCACTTTCTGTACTTTTGAGGTTTCAGCAATTAGAAAATAACACTTACTACCCACGAATAAAAAAAAAAAAACATGCTACCCTTCCATTGGAATTATTTTTCAGAAGCGACCTGGCCACAAATGATAGCTCAGAGCAGTGGCTTATCATCGACACGTGGTAATTTGAGGGCAGCCGAATACTCCTAAAAAACACATACGTGTGACGTTCATTCGAAATGTGGAGGTGAAAAAAACAAACGGAGGACCCCGGAGGAAAATCCAGTCCTCTGCTTGCCAGCATGCCAAGTAAACCCTCCTGGGGACAAAGCCCTCGACTGGAGATGCCGTTCATGGACGACCCGTGAGGTGCAAATGACAAAAATAACGAAGCTCGTCACGCAATAGGCGACGTTTCGGGCGATGCCTTCTTCACGGCACGTGGAGAGTCCAGAGGGGTGGAGGAGAGAACCCGTGAGTTGTTTTCGCGACGCGGTGAGAGAAAGTCCCCCTTCTGCTTCATATCAATAGCTCCTCCGCGCATCTGCTCACGATCTAAAAACGGCGGTGGTGGCGCAACTCGACAGAATTTACGGTCCTTGAAGCAGTTTAAACGTAAGCCACATGACGCGTCCTTTTATTTATATTCATCTTGAGAATGCTGAGATGACGCCCGTGCTGGCGTGACATCCACATGAATAACAACAACAACAATAACAACAACAATAACAACAACAATAACAACAACAACAATAACAACAACAACAACAAGGACGCCTTCTGGTTACTCAGGAAGGTCTCGCTGAGCCGCGGGACGCTGTTCCACGAAGAGGTTGTGAATTGGGGATCGTTATTTTAGTTTTTCTTTCCCTTCCACATTCCTTCTCGAGTAATTTTGCGTCTTGGGGAAGAGACCCCCATGGACCCAGAAAACCCCCGATCACGCACACGCGCACGTATAAAACACAAAGATCTCCCCGTGTAGCTTTAACAGACTGTCGGGGCAAGTGCTGCTTGCGAAATTGCAAACAATGAAGGCCGAAACGGCACACGAAATGTGGGTGAGGTGGCCAGCACCGCATGCCCGGCCGCCTTTGTCTCCCAAGAAGCGATGTTTTTTTTTTTCACATCCCACTGGGTACTCAATTAAGGCCGAGTCGACCTAGGAGAAGTCCTAGGAACCGGTTCAGATAATAATCACCGCCGGTGTGGGCCGTGAGCGGTTTGCCGATGCAAAAAAGCACTTCCTGATACAGTGACAACGCACTATGTGGCGTACATGATACACTACACAGCGGATCACGTGACACATGACATCGTCTTCTTCGTTCTTTCGGTAAAGTCACGTAGAAGGGAAGTAATAAAATAATAAAAATAAAACATAATAAAATAATTCTCACGACGTTTCGGCCACAACACAAGCAGCCGTCCTCAGGTGAAGAACATGTCTGTCGATAAGACAGAGTCTTGAAGAACATGTCTGTCGATAAGACTCTGTCTGTATTATGTTTTATTTTTATTATTTTATTACTTCCCTTCTACGTGATGACTTTACCGAAAGAACCAAGAAGATGAATCCCTGCAGTCACGAAAGCTTTAAATCGAAATTTAACATGACATCGTGTGTCACGTGTCACTCGACGCCCGGCGACGATTATCATCTGAACCGGTCCATGGGCCTTCCTCTCCACCGTCAACTCGGCCTCAATTTAATGTTTTTGGCATTTGGCAAGACACCAATGGACCCAGAAAACCCCACGCACCCGGGGTGGAGGGTGGGGGGGTTAGGAGGGGATATCGGCAACATGGATTGGTCCAGCGACGCACTGCGCTTATTTTCGAGACGCTCAATATTATTCTTTGGTTCTTTCGGTAAAGTGACGTATAAAGATAAAGTAATAAATTAAGTAATAGCATACTACGACGTTTCGATTGCAACACAAGCAATCATCATCAGGTATAAATGAAATAGCAAGAGGTGGGGTTATTTAAGGCCACCCCACAGAGACGATCTCCCTCTCTGTACCTGTGTTACTCTCTCTCTCTATGTATCTTGGTGATGTCTGTCTGCTTATATGTCTGTCTATAGTTTTCTGGTTAGAGTTTTTGTCGCTATTTCATTTATACCTGATGATGATTGCTTGTGTTGCAATCGAAACGTCGTAGTATGCTATTATTTAATTTATTATTTTATCTTCATACGTGACTTTACCGAAAGAACCAAAGAATAATTCCTGCAGTCCCGAAAGCTCCAAAATTAAGAACGCTCAATATTATCCCTGTCATGAGCGTTCGGGCCACTTATGACGATGAAAGCGGGCAAATGCCATCATCCGGCGTCGTCTTCCTGTTTCACTGGGAATTGGTTTCTAGAAGACGTATTTTTGTGCGTGTGTGCGTCTGCTTTGGGGGGAGAGAATGAGCGTTGATGCGGGGAGAGTTGCGACGCCGATGTGATTACTCGACGTTCGATGCGGGAACCGCCACGCTGGGTCCCGGCTTTTCAAAAAAGGCCCGCGCAATGCTCGTGACCAACCGGTGCCAGGGGAGGGTTTTGTCACGCTATACACTGCATGGCGCGCATTATGCACTACATAGTGGATCACGTGGCACACTACGTGGTGTGTCGCATGATACAATGATGCACTATGTCGTGTATCATGTCACATTGCGGCTTGTGCAGTCGCTGAATGGTGTTTTAAATCAGGGTCGTTGTGCAGTGTAGCGGTTAGCGCTACGCTGCGTTACGAACCCGGCGACCCGAGTTCGATTCCCGCTCACGGCGAACGCCGGTGACGATTATCTGAACTGGTCCTAGGGCCCTCCCCTAGGTCGCCTCGGCCTCAAATGAGTACCTGGTGCGGTGTGTAAATATCGTGACTGGGGAGACAAAGGCGGCCGGGCGTGGTGCTGGCCACCCACCCCCTCACGTGCCGTGCCGGCCTTCACAGGTGCTCAGAGATCCCCCGTGTAGCCTGAAAAGGTTGTTGGGGCAAGTGCTGTTAGCGAGCACCTATGAAGGCTGGCACGGCGCACGAGTGGGTGGGTGGCCAGCACCACGCCCGACCGCCTTTGTCTCCCTAGTGAGCGATGTTTACTACACACCGCACCCGGTACTCATTTGAGGCCGAGTCGACCTAGGGGAGTCCCGAGACCGGTTCAAATAATCGTCACCGGGTGTTGGCTGTGAGCGGGAATCGAACCCGGGTCGCCGGGTTCGTAGCGCAGCGTAGCGCTAACCCCTACACCACCGCTCCCCACACACACACGCACAGTGACACACAGACACACACGCACACGCACTCCCGGGCACATTTATATCAGAATCGCACTCTTCGTTGACACCCAACATGGGCTCGAGCACGCGGCGTTAGCCACGTGGTGAAGGTAAATGTCGCTTGCGGGGGGGGGGGGGGTACGGGGCGACCGTAGTCCACAATGCTCATCATTACCCCCCTCTCCACCCCCACACCTCTCTCTGTCTCTCTCTGCCCCCCTCTCGGTGCGGCCGACGCGCAGAAACCATCGGGAGCCGGAAGAAGCCCCCGGCAGCACGCAAACCGCCCAAGGCCAAGAAACCCAAGAAGAACAACAAGAGGTGGGAAACCGGGCAGCGTGTGTGCGGTAGTCCTGGGCCACCCCTAGGTCGACTCAGCCTCAAACGAGTACCTGGGTGCGGTGTGTAAACATCGCCGCTGCCGAGACAAAGGCGGGTGTGGTGCTGGCCACCCACTCCCTCGTGCGCCGTGCCGGCCTTCGTAGGTGCTCGCTAACAGCACTTGCCCCTACAGTCTGTTTAGGCTATATGGGGGGGTCTTTGTCTTTGTCTTGATGGCACGCTTGCCGTTCGTTGGCTGGGTCATGTAGCCCGCATGCCCAGCCACCACGTGGCCAAAGAGCTTCTGTTTGGCAGGATCAAGGGGGCTTAACGGGCGCGGCACAGGCTGGAGAAGAGATGGAGTGATGTGGTATTGGAGGATGTGGAGCTGAGTGGACTTGCCGATGACCGGTACCAGCGGTGTCAAGATCGGCCTCTGTGGAGGAGGTTCGTGAAGGACGCTACTGGGCAGTTGGAGGCAGTCGCCCTCCAACAACAACGGAGGGCGGAGGAGCGACGCTCACAACAATGAGCGGAGCGCCGGGCGGCTAAAACGCAGTCACCCCATGGCACCTGGGTCTGTCCCGTGACCTCCTGCCAGTGGGCGTTTGACACCTCACACGGCCTCAACGTGCACCTAGCCTGGCACAGACACCGTTAGTGGCGTATTAATTCTATATTTGAAGCTTTCGTGACTGCAAGGATTCATATTCTTAGGTTTTTTCGGTAAAGTCACGTAGGTAAAAATTTAAAATTAATAAAAGTAAAATAAAAATAAAATTAAAAAATCACGACGTTTCGGAAGCAACACAAGCTTCCATCTTCAGGTGGAACAGTCACAGCACGATAGCTGTATCACTTTTTTTCACGAACATTAATTGTCACTTGATACAGCTATCCACCTGAAGACGGAAGCTTGTGTTGCTTCCGAAACGTCGTGATTTTTATTTTATTTTTATTTTACCTTTATTAATTTTAATTTTTTACCTACGTGACTTTACCGAAAAAACCTAAGAATACCATTAGTGGCGATTGGTGGCTGCTGTTGTTGCCATCCGTGCAGCGGTGGCTTTAGCATGGTTGTCGGCTCGCATTGCCACGGCGTAGATTTCCATTATCGGGTTGCGTGGCGCCCCCGGCGTGTCTTTCGGCACGGTGTGCCGACCTTTCGTTCCACGTGCTGGATGGGGGACATCATTTTTTGTCCGTGCAAACCTTTCGGTCGTTTTTTAACCCACTTCCCGTGATCCAATCGAGCTGACATTTTGCACACAGACTCGTTGTGCGAGACAATTAATGTTCGTGAAAATTTTACACTGTTTAGGGAAAACAAATTAAATATTTAATTACCAATTGTTTAATACTGGCAGACAATCATCTGACCCATAGGTGGCAGCCATCTCAAGCCAGAGGACGAGAAGACTCTAGCCGCCACGCATATAAAGGATTTATAGTGAAAAACTTTGTTTTTACGGGTTATACTTATTCAGAAGCGACCCGGCCGTCACAAATCGTAGCCGAATTAAGCGGCTTCATCATCATCACGTGCAATGTCCAGCAGACAAACACGTGATGTCGATTCTAAATGTGGGGGGGGGGGGGAAACGGTGAACCCCGGCGAAAAAAATCCACGCGACCACGGGGAGAGGGATGTGCAAACCCCAAGCACACAGCAGGCCTCGGGGTTGGGATAGAACCCACGACCTCCTGCGTATCGGGCGAGGGAGCTAACATCTCCGACCCACCGCGGTACCCTAGAGACGTCAGCGGAGGGATCGTACGTCGACGCGATGGGAATTCGAATAGATTCGTCAAACGTGAACGCGCAAGACAGCGCTGTGTCGTGCGAACCATCTCCACGTGTTCTCTGTGTCTCCGCAGGAATGTGGATACCAGGAAGCCTGTTACCAAGGTCGTCAAAGCCAAGCCCAGGAGACAGCCTTAATCCAAAGCCAGCAAGAAGAAAACTACAAGACCGATGATGCCATTACCTTTCTGAAAGCTTTTGGGCAACACTCTCTTTGAATTCTCCCCATTCAACGCTCTCTCGCTCTCTCTCTCCCCCGCTCCCGATGATTAACTTTACACGGCAGCAAGAGTGCACCACACCCGAATGCAAATGAGCTGCGCTGGAGTAGCTTAGGGACTACCCCCGCATCGATTTCTCTCTTTTTTTATTTACGGCCCTCTTGTTTGTTTGTTTCAAGGTGTGCTGGACAAGGGGTTTATGGCGCTTTGCCGAAGGAGCGGCATAAAGCATCGTAGGGGCACTGCGGGACCCATTCTCTGTCCACGTAGCCTCGCCAGCCAAGGACAAACATCCTGCCTCGGCCCCTAACCCCGCAGCCCCGTGGATATTTCCCCGCCCCCCCTCCTGCCACCGCCCCAATTACAAATTCCGCATCGAAATCGTTCGGATAAATAATTTGCCCCGAAAGAAACTGACCAACCAAACCCAACCGTGGTTGTACGTCCGGGGTGGGGGTGCGGGACGGGGCGGGTGGTGGGGGGGGCCCGAGGGGTGATTTTTGTTTGCCGCGAGTTGGGGGGCCCGCGTTTGTGACCCGCGGAAGGATGCCCGCGTTCGGCGGGCATCCTTCTCCGTGAAGGTCTCAACGTCGGCTGGACGTAAGTCACGACGCTCGGTGGGGGAAATTGCAAGAAAGTGTTGCCACTTTATTTGGTGCTCCACTTCTCGACTCGATATATTGTGCGTTGTTTGTTGTTTTTTTATTGAGAAGCCTCACTCTTTAGCGATAGATATATAAGGCATGTCTATATATGTGTATGTTAGGAACGTCACGGGGTTCTCTCCTGCGGACGGACGCGCTTGGCTCAGTTGTATATAACTGATGGCGGTCGATTCGTTTATTTGAACATTTCTGTTCTTGGAGGACAATGCGGGGAGGGAAGAAGATACAACATCGCTCAGCCTACCCAAACCCCTGAGTTCGTTACGCTTTTATCATCCCACCTTTTGATCTTCCCAAACGGTGTAAACGCATTGCTGTGAGAACCGAGAAAAAAAGTGCATTTAGAGGAAAATTGTTTATGGGAATTTATTTCTCGGGCTGCCACTGCTGCTGCTGTTGCTGCTGATTTCTTATTATTGCCAGCTCTGCTTGCCTCTGGGGCTCACCTCACGTCTCCTACTGCCAGGCAGCAGCCTTCCACAGCACGAATTAGCCGTGCAGATTTAGGAGCCCGATTCGCGCTTTGCCGAATATCCTGCGCTGGGGTTTGTTTTTTTTTAGTCTTGGGCTGGCGAAAACCTCCCAAGTTCTCCCTTGCCATCAATGATGAGGATGATGAAAATCTGGCCTTGGAAGTGTTTGGTGCTGGCCGGGGAGCGAAATTTTGCGCAGGCTACAGGCGGCATGGAACCGATTCACGTGGTGGTTCGCCAGCGCCATTCGGAGCATCCTCGCGGCTTTTCAGCTCCTCCGTGTCACCGCTCCTCATCTTTTGTGCCTTTCGCGTGTTGCCTGCCTCAGCATCCCCACGAAGTGCGGCCGTTTGAACGAAGTCAACGTACAGGACCCGCGTTCGCTTTGGCTGAACGTTGGCGGCAGAGCGAACGATCTTGTGGGGGCTCCACCGTCGTGCGTGGTCGGGAGGACGCTGTTGTAACCGTGGGAGCGTGAGGTCACGTGCGCGAGGTCACGTGCGTTCTGCGTCTCTCTCGTTGTCGGTGACGGCTGCGAGTCTTTTGACGACGGTGCCGCTCTTCTCAAACCAACGAACGAACCCAACCTTGGTCGTCCGTTACTGCCGCCTCGTCCCTGTTACACGTGCCCATCTTGTTGTTGTTTGTTGTTTTCGTCTTGGAATAAAATGTGCACGTACGTAACGGAAGAGATGCGGTTGCGTTTTAAATCTTCGTCGTCCACTCGCTTGGCCTGAACGTCGCACCTCCACCTCCTCGTCGTCGACAGAGAGAGAGACGCCGGGTGGGACCATCAAACACATCGGATCATCAGCAGGCCGCTTCGCACACACCTCGCTCACGGATGGGAAATGAGCGACGGGTGTCATGGTGGCGGTGGTAGTAGGCAGTTGCGATCGTGGCCATGCAACCCAAAACTGTCGACCATACGTATGTAGGTACGATGAACTTCTTTCACACCGTACACAGCCAACCGTGCTAATCGGAGGTGCAGTCTATGGGTAGTGTTGAGTCTATGGGCAGTGTTGAGTCTATGGGTAGTGTTGAGTCTATGGGCAGTGTTGAGTCTATGGGTAGTGTTGAGTCTATGGGCAGTGTTGAGTCTATGGGCAGTGTTGAGTCTATGGGCAGTGTTGAGTCTATGGGCAGTGTTGAGTCTATGGGCAGTGTTGAGTCTATGGGTAGTGTTGAGTCTATGGGCAGTGTTGAGTCTATGGGCAGTGTTGAGTCTATGGGTAGTGTTGAGTCTATGGGTAGTGTTGAGTCTATGGGTAGTGTTGAGTCTATGGGTAGTGTTGAGTCTATGGGCAGTGTTGAGTCTATGGGCAGTGTTGAGTCTATGGGCAGTGTTGAGTCTATGGGTAGTGTTGAGTCTATGGGCAGTCATCTTCTTGGTTCTTTCGGTAAAGTCACGTAGAATGGAAATAATAAAATAATAAAAATAAAACTTAATAAAATAATAAAAACAAACATCATAAAATAATACAAATAAAAGATAATAAAATAATAAAAACATAAAATAATAAAAATAAAACATCATAAAATAATAAAAATAAAACATAAAATAATAAAAATAAAACAATGAAATAATAAAAACAAAACATCATAAAATAATAAAAATAAAATATAAAATAATAAAAATAAAACATAATAAAATAATTCTCACGACGTTTCGGCCACAACGCAAGCAGCCGTCCTCAGGTGAAGAACAGGTCTGTCCGAAAGACAGCCCATTCAGACGCTGTATTTCCGACAGACCTGTTCTATGTAGCCTTACCTCGTAAAATATCAAAGTTAAAATACTAGATTTCGATTTAAAGCTTTCGTGACTGCAGGGATTCATCTTCTTGGTTCTTTCCCTTCTACGTGACTTTACCGAAAGAACCAAGAAGGTTAAAATACTAGATTTGGAGTTTGCTCGTCTCTCTCTCTCTCTTTCTCGGGGTCTTCCGTTCCCCCCCCCTACCCCACTCCACGTTTAGAATGGACGTATGTTTAAAGTTATACGGCTGCGATACATTTCCACGCCACGATAAGCCACTTCGTTGAGCTTTCGTTTGTGGCCTTACCTTGTGAAATTCTAAATAGTGTAGTAGTTTATCAAGCAGCAAGCTGGTCCCTCGACGATTGAAGCAGCGGCAGAACGAGTGGCTCGCAATCGCAACGCTTGTGAGTGCAAACCCTGGTTGACTCAGACAATCACAACCATCCCTTCCGGGGTGGATAAAATTAGTACTTCTCTGTGCTCGTCCTATGGATTAGTCTGAAAACGTGGAATCTCCACAAACCACTGGCTCAGTGGCCGTGCACGGGAGACGGGGGGTGGGGGGCCCGCATCGATCCTCATTTGAGTGGTCGAACGACGCCTGATTTTGACTTCTTGAATTCTGTCGGAGAACGTCAGGTCACGTAAAAAATATATAAAAACCACGCGCGCGCACACACAATGTTTCCGTGATCAATTCTGGGAGCCATAAGTGCAACCTTGCGAGTGAGTAATGCGCGCGCTACCCCCCGACGGAACGCTGAGTCCTCCCAGCGCTGCCGCATGAATGTTAAACAGAGTTGCCGCTCTCATTTTACGCCAGCTGCTGGGTTGGGCCGGGCCTTTGTGAATGCGTCATTTAAACCATTTACTGTAAACCATTTTTCGATTTAAAGCTTTCGTGACTGCAGGGATTCATCTTCTTGGTTCTTTCGGTAAAGTCACGTAGAAGGGAAATAATAAAATAATAAAAATAAAACAATAAAATAATTTTCAAAGCTTTCGTGACTGCAGGGATTCATCTCCTTGGTTCTTTCGGTAAAGTCACGTAGAAGGGAAAAAATAATAATAATAAAATAATTCTCACGACGTTTCGGCCACAACGCAAGCAGCCGTCCTCAGGTGAAGAACAGGTCTGTCGGAAAGACAGCGTCTGAATGGGCTTTCCGACAGACCTGTTCTTCACCTGAGGACGGCTGCTTGCGTTGTGGCCGAAACGTCGTGAGAATTATTTTATTATTATTATTTTTTCCCTTCTACGTGACTTTACCGAAAGAACCAAGAAGATGTAAACCATTTGTTTAATTTTATCGGGTAAGGCCGACTGAGCTACGATGTGCAGACGCGACCTGGCTATCATTAACAATAGCTCGACCAAGTAGCTCATCGTCATCATCATCATGTGGAAATGCACAAGCAGCAGCTACATACTCGAAACGCGTGATGTTGATTCTAAACGTGGAGGGAACAACCTCCGCAGAAAAATCCACGATCTCCTGCATACCAGGCGAGGTAGTTAACATCTCCTAGCCACCGTGATGATGATGAGAGAGAGAGACACGCAAACTCCAAATATACAGCAGCAGGCGTCAGGATCGGGATCGAACCCACGAACTCCTGCATACCAGGCGAGGTAGTTAACATCTCCTAGCTACCGTGATGATGATGAGAGAGAGAGACACGCAAACTCCAAATATACAGCAGGAGGCATCAGGGTCGGGATCGAACCCACAACCTCCTGCATACCAGACGAGGCAGTTAACATCTCCTAGCCACCGTGATGATGAGAGAGAGAGACACGCAAACTCCAAATATACAGCAGCAGGCATCAGGGTCGGGATCGAACCCATAACCTCCAGCATACCAGACGAGGCAGTTAACATCTCCTAGCCACCGTGATGATGAGAGAGAGAGACACGCAAACTCCAAATATACAGCAGCAGGCGTCAGGGTCGGGATTGAACCCACGACCTCCTGCATACCAGGCGTGGTAGTTAACATCTCCTAGCCACCGTGATGATGATGAGAGACTGAGAGACACGCAGACCCCAAATATACAGCAGCAGGCGTCAGGGTCGAGATCGAACCCACAACCTCCTGCATACCAGGCGTGGTAGTTAACATCTCCTAGCTACCATTGCATGGTGGGAATGTTGATCCCCAACGAGCCCCCATCGCTGAGCTCACACGGGTCTGGGGTCTGGGATCCAGGATCTGGGGTCCAGGGTCTGGGGGTCCTCAGCCTGAAGTCCTGAATCGAGAAGCCATGGGGTATGGGCCACGGTTTAGGGTCCAAGGTCTCATGGCAAAGTGCCAAGTTTATTCCAGCCAGAGTCAATGTAAGCTGCCTGCTCAAATGAACATCTGATGGGTGGTAAAACAAATATGTATAAATATATATTTTTATAAACCCTGAAGCATGTGTCTACTGCACACGCGCGTATGTATATATCTTCTTTTTTTTACTTTAACAAAACGTACGTGAACAACAACACGCGTTACCTAGCGGTTGGACGGCTTGCCTCGCTGAACATGATCCATCGTGAACCTCACGTGGTGTCTGAAAACAGATGCGATGGATACCATTGTCTGTGGCCTTGAAATGGTTATAAAATTCCGGGGAACCGGTCCAAGAAATTTTTCACGATCTGGGATAGGCAGGGGGGGGGGTCCATGATGAGATGGGATTTATTGTTTCTTGCCCAGATGTCTTTCAATAAGACCGGGGGGGAAACTTGGACCGGCTCCAAGGGACTTGGAAACCTGAGGTCTGGATTGCAATTTTGTGAGGGGTGGTTTTTTTTTTCCCTTAAATTTATTTTTTCCTTTCAAATTTATTTTTTCCCTTCAAATTGATTTTTTTAAAGAGAAATTTCCCCACCAGAGCATAGTCACGATGGCTACGTGTTTATTTTACACTTTGTATTTACACAACTCTAAATTAAACCGCATTCACCCCACCGGGGGAGTCGTTTTTCCCTACCTATAAAACGACCCAACGTTCATTTCGCGCAGGGGCGGTTTCTTCATTAGGGCGATTGGGCGACGCACCACCAATGTCATTCAACCACAGAGTCATGCTAGCCGTCACTGTGCCTCTGGATATAGTCCAATCAGCGTCATGTCACGTTCTGTGGAGTACCGCCTCTTTTGGGGCGATTTCACTCCGGCTGAGAATCGCCCCGAGTGGCCCCATAGACTTACATTCAAAGATGTTTTTTTTCGAATGGGGGGCGCTGCAATGCATTCTCTATGGCTTCCGGGAGGGCTCGCCCTAACGTGCTTACGTCATCATACGTAAGCACGTTTCATCCAACAATATAATTTGTCGCCACCTAGTGGAATCTTTAATAAAAGAAACTTGAGTGGATTGTATTAATAGTGAGTATAGAAACAAACAAGATGTATTGTAAGAGTCACTTTATTTTTCATTAATATTAAAGAAGTGAAGTTGCCTTTACATGCTTAAGCTGTTAATGTATCCATTGCATAGGTGGACCTTATCCTTATCAATCATCCAGACATTTGCCCCCCCTGAGAGATTTTGCAGGAGCCGCCACTGATTTCGAGATGTGAACGTTCCACCTTGGTTGGCCACATTTTGGAATGACCTGGAACGCACAAGCCGCGTCAGCTGCCAATGTCGCGTTGATGGTGTCAATCGTCGTATCTCGTGCATTCATCCGTGATTCTAAAATGTGCACAAATTGTAGACGCCGTCCGTGTTCGTGAAATGTCGTACTTTGATAATTGGTTTTTTACCCTTCTATCTGGCAACAAAACTGACACCTTTTTACAAGGAGTCATGTTTGCATAGACCACAATACCTGCAGTCATAATGCAAACAAAAAACATAACTCTGATAATGTATGCACTGTCCTTGAAGTTGATGGGTTGGTCCAACCCATGTGATACTAGG